CTTTCCCCCCTCTCTCCCTCTCTCTCTGTGTGTGTGTGTGTGTGTGTGTGTGTGTGTGTGTGTGTGTCTGGTCAAATTAAAAATAAATGAATGAATAAATAAAATTAAATAAATAATAATTTTTAAAAATCAATGATGGGAAATGTATCACATTCAATTTCATTACTTATGTCTATTTCAAACTCAAGGCATTATAACAACCTTTTTAGCAGTCATTCTCATTAAACTTCAATTAACAGATAAGGAAACCAAAGAACAAAACATCTTATGATTTGTACAAAAAGTCTTGAACAGATAAATGACTTGGGAATAAAACTGAGTATACTGATGTGTATTTTTCTGTATTTTTAAACTCTTTCTACTAGGGTTAGAACATCTGAATAATTTCTATAACATCGAACTCATTACCTCAAGACTGTGTATTCTATTATTAGATGCCTCCAACTTCCTAGACGTCCCTGAGTCCTCCAATCTCCTTTACTATAAGACAAAAATAAATGGCTCAATCCCCCATCCCACAAGCAAAAAAAAATGGTCACTTATTTTCAAAAACCAACCCGGTCTTCCTCATAAATTCCACACTGTAAAGTAGTAAGAAACACCAACTTAAAATTAGTCCAGACTAGTAAACTAAATTGGAATAGATACCTGAAAATGTCTTTAGATTAACCCAATTTATCTTAGAAGACTCAGTCTTTCAGATTTTCTCACTCCCCTATTTCCTCTAAAGTAGTACTGTCTACAAGAAATATAATGCAAACCATAACTGCAGTTACATGTGTAATATTACATTTTCTAGTAGCCATATTGAAAAGAAGTATGAAATTCATTTTAATAATACATTTTATTTAACCCAACATATCCAAAAATATTATCACTTCAACATGTGATCAAGCAGGCCTGTGACCCTTTCAAGGGCAGACAGATGGAATGTTTTGTCTGCCCTTGCTGCAGGAGAGCTAAGGAAAGCTTGAAAGTACCAATTTAGCCACTCTGCCTAAACACAAGATTTCTTATACAGTTCCAAACAGGAAATGGAGGAAACTTTTCTACTTCCAACTTTGCTCTCAACATGTCTAACATGCCTCCTACCTTGCAGCCTGGAGAGGGTTCCATCTCTTCTGCCAAACCACATATTCTTCACCTTGTATCTCTGTGGTTATCATTTTCAAAATAACATATTACTATGTAGTGGACATTTTCATTTATTTGGCTACCCTGTATCTGTTCTATTTGTGTTTGTTTGTTTGCTTGCTTGCTTTTGTAGAGGAGCACTCACATTTCCGTTTGGGGAATGAGACTAGTAAACAGTGTGTCTTGTCCATAACTAGCCAAAAATCCCTCAGAGATACAACCTGTTAAATTTTCACTGATTAGATTTGTCCCATTGCTTTGTAATACTCTAGCAAAGTCATGGTCAAAATTTTAAAGTAGACAAGGTTTCCTTAATAGGTGCTCAACACAAATCAAGCTATTAAATCCTTTCCACAACTTTATGAGGTTAGTGATGCTATCATCCTCATTCCAGATAAGGAAAGTAAAGCACAGAGAAGTTACATAGTATGCCCCAAGTCACACAGTCAATAAATGGCTGAACCAAAATTCAAACCTTGATAGTTGGGCTCTGAAGCCCTAATTCATAATCATCATATTATACTGTTTCTAGGATGTGTCCTTTAGGTTAATAATCATCTGTTAACTATTGCTGTTTGCTTATGTTAATTAAACCAGTTACAAATCTGCTTAATTCTATTATCATACAACCTGTATTAAATCACCTTATCCTCAGGTGGTTTTTTCCATCTGTTCTACCAAGTCCAGATAGGTATTTTCTTGATCTGGTAACTTTATAAAATAAAGAAATGATTCCAGGGAGCCAGCGGGCATGGAGTTGGAGTTGAGGGAGATGTTGACAAAGAGAATTTGGGTAGGCATCTATTATATTGGGAAAGCCTGAAGAGTGCACAACAAACTGGCACCTAAGCAGTACTGGACTCAGTTGATAGGCACTGGATGATCAAAACCAGGCAATCAGTAACGAACAGACAGTAGGCTCCATAGAGATATGCAGCTGTGATTTTTTTTTACACATTTTATTATTATTATTATTATTATTATTATTTATACATTCAATCGCTATACATCATTTAGATTGTAAGGAGATTTTACCCAGCATGATACACATCTCAGTCCAGCTGAGAATATTCTATAAATCCTCATCAACAGATAACAAACCATATCTATGTCCCACAAATATCTTCCCTCTCCTTATTTTTTCCCTAATTTTCTTTCCCGCACTCTTCCTCACCCACACTCTACTTCCATTTTGTCTCTAGTGTCCACAACGATTTTTTAAAACAATATTTTTTTGTAGAGGTTTTTGCTAAAGGGCTCATGCACTCGCCAGAAAGACAGAGAGAGACAGAGAGATAGAAAGCAAGAAATCACCCCCCAGGGAGGATCGCCACGCCACAATCTCTTCTCCTCCATTCTCCTCTCAGGACCTTGGGCATGCACTCACATGCACCCGGCATGAGTTTGAGCCACTGGGTCTGGGACTCGAACCACGGTCAACTACATGGGAGTTCAGTGACATAGCCATTGCGCTAACTGCCGGTCCCTTTAAACAATTTTTAATGCTTTTATGTCCTCCAGTCTCTCAGTCTCTGCCATAGAGTGCGGACAGTCAGTGTATATTAAGTGGAGACATACAATGTCTCTCTTTCATAGCCTGACTTGCTTCACTCAGCAACAAATCTTCCATATTCGTCCACTTTCCATCAAATTCCAGGGCCTTGGGTTTTTTATGGCTGAATTATATTCCATGGAGTATACGTGCCACACTTTTCAATCCATTCATCCATCTGTGGACATCTGAGTTGGTTCCATGTCTTAGCAATCGTGAATAGTGCTGCAATAAATATAGTTGTGCAAGCACTTTTCTGATGGAGCGTTCTCCTGTCCTTTGGGTAGGTACCCAGGAGTGAAACTGCTGGATCATATGGTAGTTCTATCTGAAAGTCTTTAAGGAACTTCCATATTGTTCTCCACAGTGGTTGGACCAATTTACATTCCCACCAACATTGTAGGAGTGTTCCCCTTTCACCACATCCCCGTCAACACTTATCATTTTTTTTTTAATCTTCACCATTCTGACTGGGGTTAGGCAGTATCTCATTGTGGTTTTGATCTGCATCTCCCTTACAATGAGGGATGTTGAGCATTTTTTCATATGCTTTTTGGCTGTTTGGATGTCTTCCTTAGAGAGTTGTTTATTCAACTCTTTTTAAGAATTATTTTATTTAACTTTATTTATTTATTTTAATTTGATCAGAGAGGGACAGAGAGAGAGTGAGAAAGCAAACCTCCAGGTCTAGGACTTGAATCTCCGTTTCGGTCATGTGGATGTTCAGCACCCTTAACCACCATGCCACCTGCTGGCCCCCAGATATTTGTATTTTTTGTTTTTACTGTAAAACGCATTAGCATCTTGTTTACTTCCTAACAGAGAGATAGATCATGTAATTATACTGAAATACTTGGCTGGAAAGAGGCAAAACTATTGAACCTGTAATCACCAAACTGCTCCAAATTGCCAATTCTATTTTTTTAAATATTTTACTTATTTGGGGGCTAGCAGATGGCATAATGCTTATGTTGCTGGACTCCTACGTAGTCAACTGTGGTTCGAGTCCCTGACCCAGTGGCTTGAAACTCACTCTGGGCACGTATGCATGCATGCCTGAAATCTCAAAAGGAGACTGGAGGAGAAGGATTGTGGTGTGGCCATCCCCACTTGGGTGTGACTTCTCACGTTCTGCCTCTCTGTCTCTCTGGCAAGCGTACATGCCCTATTGCAAAAACCTCTCAAAAAATTTTATTTATTGGTTATAAAGCTTACTTTATTCACTTATTTATTTATTTATTTATTACTTTCAATCACTGTGTATCATTACAGCATACCACATGAATTTTCCCATCATGGATACACTGTATATTGGTTCATTCAAAGGTATTACCATATACATTATCATCAACAGATAATTTTCCATTTTTGTGTCTGTAAAATGCTTTGCTTCTATTCCCATTGATTCCCTCCCTCTAACCCCTCCCATTTACCATCCTCCTCCCACACTGTCTTTAGCATCACCATTGCTGTCTGTGCTTTTATACCTTCCAATCTTTCCGTTTCTGCCATAGAGTGCTGACAATTGGTATATATTGAGTGGGAGCATACAATGTCTCTCTTTCATAGTCTGGCTTGCTTCACTTAGCAGTAAATCTTTCATATTTGTCCAATTTCTATCAAATTTTTGAGTAGTATTCCATAGTGTGTCTATGCCATACTTTTTCAATTTATTAATCTGTTTGTGGACATTTGGGTGGGTTCCATGTCTCAGCAATTGTGAATAATGCCACAATAAACATAAATCCAATTTTAAATAATGTAGAAAATGCCCAACAAAAAGAGGAAGTTGATAAGCATGACAGTTTTCTAGGCATTCATAAGTTACAGAATGTGGGTAGAATTATTAAAACTGCTAGAAGGTGCAATAGTCAGTAATCCAAAAGTGAACTCTCACATACTCTACATTTAGAAAGAATACATGCCGATTCAACAAAAATTATTATTTTTGTAGCTGATGCTTTATAATATCAAGAGAAAAAATAAAGTATGTTCAATTGGGAATATCATCTAATCTAGGAAAAGACAGTGCTGAAGCTTGTGAAGACTAACTCTCAGTCCTTGCTTAATTTCCCCCCTGCATTTAATACTATTTGATGCTGTAAACAAATGAAAACATATATTTATATAAGATCTGTTTCTTCTACTGAAATATAAGTTCCATGAGGGAAGAGTTCTTTTTTCTCTTGTTTACCACCTTATTCTCAGTACCTAAAACAGTGCTTGGCACATAGCAAATGCTTTATAAAAATTCTTTGAATAAATAATAGATGGATAGAACTTACAGTCAACTGAAGGATACAGTCATTAAGCATGAGAGTCATAACCAGTCAAAGTGAGGTGTGCTAGGTTTCTGTGAGAACGTGGTACATTTGAGTTACTTGTTAGGACATAACTGATATCTCTTGCAGTGTTCATATAGTCCATGCCTTCTTCAAGAATGGGACGTTCCTTACTACTCTGCCTTTATTCACTCATTCATTTCAAAGCATTTGCTATGTATCATTGTTATAACAGATACCATGTTAGGTACAGGGGCTAGAGAGAATATAAAAGTTAACATTTATTGAGTGCTTAACATGTGTCAGTCTCCAAATTCAGCACATTACATGTATTAACTCTTTAGTCCCTATGGGAACCCTTTGAGATTAACACTAGTATTATCTCCACTTCACAGATAAACAAATTGAGACACACAGATTAGGTGACTCAAACAGCTTCATTGCCTTAATGATCGCATTCTAATGAGAAAGACAAGCTCAGTGTTTATAATATAGTGTAATAATTTGCCATGATGAAGTTATATACAAAGTGAAGTAGAAACAGAAGAAGCACCACTAAATATGTCTGTGCAAATCACAGAAGGCTAGCCAGAAGAAACATTCAATAGTTTCTGAGATAACAATTGAAGGAAGTGAAGCAGTTTTTTACTGAGAGTGATATTGGGATGGAACTGTTCTGGGGAGAGGGGAGAAATTAGCTTGGGTTATACTGAGGCAGAGATGTGGGCAAAGCATTAGTTTTATGTGATTCCATGTGTGTGGCACAAAGGATGTGTGTGTAGAGGAAATAGGATCTCAGTGATTCGGAAGTGGTCTGGGTTGCCATGAAACAGACTAGTAACTCAATAAGCATCTTTCCTACTCATTCCCATAATTTATCCCAGTTTCATACACACGTCCACATTTCAACATTGGTGTCTGCTTCACTTGCACATCCAAAGTAATGGGCACATGTATAGCAATGTAGATTCTTCCTAAAACAATCAGTAATTTCAGGAGGTTAAGGTAAATGTTTGTTTCGATTGGTATAGGTGGATCTATTGGCACCAATGATCATTCATGGCATCAAGACCCAGGGTGCTCGTCAGAAGCTCTCCAGCCTCTACATTTCTCAGTTTATCATCATGTATAGCCTTGATGGGAAGAAGTGGCAGACTTATAGAGGGAATTCCACTGGGACATTAATGGTATGTGATGACTTCTTTCAAAAGAATGAATGAATCTTTTAAAGTGCTTTTGAAAGTTTTCATATATAGGAAAAACACTCTAAATGTCTACAAACCAACTCCCCAAACCAACTTTCCTCCTATGGACAGTAGGAGTGATTATGGATATATGAATCATGACTGGGTGAACTGATGAGTTTTCTCATGGATATCCTAGGTTTGAGGTGATAGTAGAGCAATCAGGTTGAAATATCCAGCAGGTAGTAGATCAAAGACTTAAGTTTAGGGTGCAAGGCCATGATTGGAAATGATTTGTGTCTTTCACATAAGGATGGGTTAATAACTGATCCCACCACACAAGGTAACTTTTTCTTGCCCTTTTGTTCAATTTTCTTGCTTCTCTACCATTTTATTTTCTTTGAGGTGGGCCTATATAAAATACATAAATAGGCTACCTTATCCTCTAGCTTTTGGTTGGGTTTCACCATAGGGAGCAACAGAGAGGACAAAAAGATTGGGATATCGGTCTGTATAGAGGCTCTAAAGGCAAAGGGTTGAAGTTTAACATTCATGAACATGATTATTTAAAGTAAAATGTTAACATCTTATTGTGGGCTTAATAACATATATAGATATAATTAATGTGACAACTATAACAATAAAAAAGGAGCAGTAGGGACCAGCAGTTAGTGTAATGACTATGTCGCTGGACTCCCACGTAGTCGACCGCGGTTCGCGTCCCAGACCCGGTGGCTTAAAACTCACGCCAGGCGCATGTGTGTGTGTGCCCAAGATCCTGAGAGGAGAACGGAGGAGAAGGGATTGCGGTGTGGCCATCCCCAATGGGGGTGTGATTTCTCACTTTCTATCTCTCTGTCTCTCTCTCTGTCTGGCGAGCGCACGTGCCCTATAGCAAAAACCTCTCAAAAAAAAAAAAAGGAGCAATAAATGTAACTATCCATTGGGAAGGTTCTTACAGTTTTTATGAAGTGGTAAAGTATTCACTCTAAGTAGATTGTGAAAAACTAGGAATTTTGGTATGAATATTTGTAATCACCACAGCAACTGCTAACAACACAAAGAAATATAGCTAAAAGATAATAATAAGAGAATAATATAGAATTCTTTTTTAAAAAACTATTCTATTAGCATGAAAGAAGGCAGGAAAGGAGGAATAGAAAAACAATCCAGATGTCAGGGTTTGAGATAGAGGGTTTGACCACAAAGGAGCAGCGGCATGAGGGAGTCTTTTGGGTTGATCGAGCTGTTATGCATCTTGATTGTGCTGATGACTATAACACATTTATACATGTATTAATAGAAATAAACTCCTAAAGGGGTCGGTTTTATTGTTTGATAATATGAAAATAAAACCGAAAACAACCAAAAAAGTAACATAGTATCATGGATTGCATCTGGTACTATTTCTAATATTTAGTAAATTCTTGAAATGGAGTAGCTATGTTTTATATATAAATGCCTTACTTATGTTTAGAAATACATTATTGATATTTATATACTTAAATGTTATCTATATTTATATAATTTAATACTATTTTATACTTATAATAATTACATATAATAATACTATTTTATACTTATAATAATTACCTATAATTTATAAAATTTCATTTTAATTCTTCAATTATGATATACCTACTAAACTCTTGCACTATGTAGGATAGTCTATATGCTCCCTATGGGACTGCTGTCATGTATGAGACCCAGTGTTGAACACCATGTTGTTATAAAGCAAATGACCATGTAACACTGGCCTTCCAAACTTAAGGTGCCATTTCCTTGGGGATATTGATGAAATTCTCTTCTCTAGCATAACAGTTCTCAAAAGTCTTTGAAACTTTGTACCATTTGCATCTAAAATTTAATTTCATTAGCAATACTTCTCATTAGAGGAGTATCTCCTAATGGGAAAAAGGAGAGCCCTAACACCAGTTAAGGATCACTGCTTCACTGCCATCATTTTCAACAGTCTACAATAGTTTGAATCATCAACGAGCATTTAACCGACAAGGATCTATCCCCCTGGTTTCCCAGTTTAGAAGCATGCTAAATCATGCCCTTTAAAAAATACTATCATTGGCATGTTAGAAATCAGTGCTGATTTTGCTATTAAAGTGATACAGGAAAACTCTCTCGAAAATGCTGACATCTGATGTAGTCCCAGCTCTCCCTGCTATTTTCTGAGGGAGATACATAACTGAGCCACTGGCAAGTGGAAAACAACCTTTAGTGTTTCCTAGAATGGTGCCTGCATACCCAGTACCAGACTCGCTGGTTGGTTACTCTTCTCCTGACTCCTTCCGATGCAAGGAGTTTAGCTCAGAGGCCTAAAAGAGGCTTATCCTTTAACCCAGATCAAAAACTTATCACCAGTGCCCACCACTAAATAACACAGACAGACACTCTAAAAAAGAAATGATATGCATTGCAATGTGGAATAGTCTTCCCACAGTAAACTATGGCCATATTTCCAGGAGATAACGGAAGACAAGTGTTTTCTTTCTTTGTTTTATTTTGGTTTTACATTTTGTTTTGCTATATAGGGTGAGTGTGCCTGCCAGGGAGAGAAGGAAGGAGAGGGAGAGGGAAAGGGAGGAGATATCCTCTCCTGAGGGGATGACCACACTGCAATCCCTTATCCTTCATTCTCCTCTTGGGATTTTAGTGTCTCACACACACACACACACACACACACACACACACACACACACACGGACCGTTTTTTCTGGCTGCCAGGTCCAGGACTGCAATCGGGCAGTCGGCTAGATGGGACCCAGCTGCCTTAACCACCACACCACCTGCCTGGCCCAGAACAGGGTTTCTAAAAAAAAAAGTAAGAAAGGATTCCACAGGTTGTTTGGGGATGATCATCTATGCTGCCAGGATCGAGGATCGACGGCAGGGGCAGCAGAGG